GCCCCTTACCTGGCCCGGAAGGAGCGGCGTGATAGACACGGCAGGCGGGCCCGGAGCCCGGCAGCCCCACCCGGAGGACCCCCAGTGGAAAGCTGCACGGGAATTGTGGCTGCGGTTCTGTGCACGGCGAGAAAGGCGATAAGCTACCTGTTGGCAGAGAAAGGTGCTAATAATGGTGGACCGGGCCTTAGCGCCGGTTCAAGTGCACGCTTCATTTATTCCTTCTCCAAGAGTTTGCTGGGCACTAACACTCGCTTGCTAGGGACTTGGGGATGGAGCCACATAGACAGTTGTGGGTGCACCCAAGCCACCTTCCAAACTTGTGAAAGTGCGAACTTTGCTAGTGCTATTCTTTCATTTATCCGAGCCATCCTATGAACTGGGGCTTTTCTGTTTTGCAGATGAGAAAATTGAAGATCAGCATTGCTTCAGATGACCTAGGAGTGTGTGGAAGAAGTCACCCTGCTGTCAGAAATGTAAGACTCGGTTTCCAGGTCTCCGGGGGCACGGAAGAAGCCCCTCTCCAGAAAGGATGGGTTATTTGAAGTGACGCCCAGGACCGTTGGCATTGTCCTTTCCTATGCTTACATTTTCAGGTCTGTTAGGTGGAGCTCTTGCCTCTGTGTGGGTGGGTGGGTGGGATGAAGGCTCTCACCCTATGGGCAGGGGGTGGGGGTTCAAGTGAGATATTGCCTCTTAGCGGAACTTTCTCCTTGTAGGGATTCCACCAAGGGAGAACAAATACAGGGTGTTCTGTGAAATTGAGAGAGGGACTTTCTGTTCTTTCCATGCTCATGTTCACTAACATCTAACTGATATTCAGCACTTCCTTCCATGTGGAGGCAGGCAAAAACCACAGTGGCGTTAGGATAAGTATCTGTGACTTAGTCACCAATGGAAATCATAGGGTTTTGTTTTGTTTTGTTTGTTTTGATACAGCCTCATTGTTGCACCTATCTCAAAATATTCCTGACACTCATCCCAACCTCAGATTGCAGTGCGTATTCCACCTGCAGCAAGGTTTGTAATGAAATCCGGCAATAAAGAAGCATTCATCCTGCTCTGGCACAAATGTATCAACAGCTTCATAATTGTCTTTCAATAGGATTACTCTCCTATGCAGCCCCGTGTGTTTTATGTTTGCCTCGACACACTGTATTGTGATGAAGTTGACCCATATCTCACACCATGGATGATTAGTGACCTAAGAAGGAAGTCCAGAAACTCTGAAAAGAGAAACACAAACCCAAAGCTTCAAGACCTCGTTTTTCACAATGGAGACCCAGATATGGGATCACAAGCTTAGCAGCAAAAGGAAGTATAGATACATTGGGCTTCATAAAAATCAAAGACTTGGGGGGGGGTGTAAAGGGAAGCTGATATCAAGGAGTTCAAGAAGGAAGAAAATGTTTTGAAACTGATTGTAGTAGCAACTGTACAAGACTGTTTGGTGCAATTGAACTGTGGAATGATATGATAGCCGTAAGAGCTTCCAATAAAATGGTTTTGGGGGAAAAAAAAAAAAACTTTTGTACATCAAAGGACCTTGTCAAAAAGTGAAGGGGCAACCTACAGAATGAGAGAGAATATTTGGTAATCATACACAAAGAAATGTGCTCATTCAGCAGTCGGGAGCTGCTGTAGCAATATGTGTGCCTTATTAACCTAAGATTCTATATCTGATACAAAATCTAGACTATAAAAACTCAAAAAATGCACTACCATAAAGTCAATTCCAACTCATAGCCACCCTACAGAATAGAACTCACACCAAACATACAAAATAGAACTGACCCCGGGTAAAGACTGTAAAACTTTTACAAGTGTAGAAAGCCTCATTTTGTCTCCAGTGGTGGTTTTGAACTGCTAACTTTGAAGTTAGGAGTAACCCACTACCCTGCCAGGGCTCCTAGACTATAAGAAGAATAACAGATCAACAGGATTAAAACAAACCAGTTTTAAAATGAGCACAGGACTTCAGTAGACATTTCTCCAAAGAAGATATGCAGATACCTAGATGCTGAAGGGTCATTAAAAAGAGAAGAAAAAGTCCCAAAACTCTGCCACTGAGTTAATGGTGACCCATAATGACTCTATAGGACAGAGTTTCGGAGGCCGTCATCTGACGGGAGCAGAAAGCCTCATCTTTGTTCCTCACAGCAGCTGATTGATCTGACCAGCAACTTGCTTCCTCCGGAAATGATTGACACCAACCAGTTCTTTTTGATGCTGTGTCTTCCTTCCATCTTTCCCATGGTTCAATATCTTGTCCATCCCATGCCATCAAGTCAGTTCCGATGTATGATGACCCCATAGAGCAGGGTAGAAGGGCCCTTGTGGGCTTCCAAGACTGTAACTCTTTACAAGAGTAGAAAGTTTCCTCTATTTCCTATGGAGCAGCTGGTGGTTTCAAACGACCAACCTTGCGTTTAGCAGTCTGATTCAATAATTCACCTCAAGGCTTGAATATTTTGTTCAGTTCTTTCAGTTTGAAAAATTGCATGCTTGTTCTTTTTGGTTTTCTGTCTCCAGGTCTTTGTATATTCCATTATAATATTTTCTCTTCTTCAGTTGCCCTTTGACATCTTCTGTTCCACCCTTTCACTTTATCATTTCAGCTTCCATTGCCACATTCAAAGAGCAAGTTCCAGAGTCTCCTCTCCCATCCACATTTCTCTTTCTTCATGTCTATTTAATGGCCTTTGCTTTTGCATGTATGCTGTCCTTCATATAATCTCACAGCTAGGCTGGTCATTTATGTTCCATGCAACAAACCTGTTCTTGAGATGGTCTCCGAATTCAGGTGGGATATACTCAAGCTTGTCCTTGGCTCTCTTAGACTTGATTTTAAATCTCTCCAGCTTCAACTTGAATTTGAATAAGAGCAACTAGTAGTCTGCTCCAGTCAGTCGTTGGCCTTGTTCTTTCTGATGATACTGAGCTTCTCCATCACCTCTTTCTGTAGACGTATTTGATTTGACATCTTCATTCCCTTCAGTGAGGTGCACAGGTGTGGTACTGTTTATGTTATTGGAAAAGAGTGTTTGAAATTAGTAACTCTTTGGTCTTGCAAAATTGTTTCATTCAATCTTGGCATTGTTTCTACTACCAAGCCCATATTTACATTCAAGGTCAATATGACCCAATAATTTCATTCCTTGGTATATAAACAAAACCACTCAAACATATATGTGTATGGTGTTCATTGCATAAGGTGACCAGACGTCCCACTTTTGGTGGGACAGTCTCAATTTGTAACAATTTTTCCTGCGTCCCGCGGCATTTTATAAAAGTCCCGATTTTTGGAAAGAATGCACGACAAGCTAGGGTATACCGTTTTCGGCTGCCATGTGGCTATTTCGCCAGGATATGAGTTTTATCATTGGTGTCCCGCTTCACCAATGTTAAAATCTGGTCACCTTATCATTGCACGTTGATTTTCAATAGTCAAAAGGGAGAAATAACCCAAGAGTCCATTATCAGATGAGTAAAAAAAAGTGGAATATGTGCATAATGGAATATTACAGACATAAATACTGGTAAATAGAATGGATGAACCCTGGAGACAGGCTGAGTGAAATAAGTCAGACCCAAGCCAAATACAGTCCAAACTGGGATGCAGGGCTTTTAAATTCCATCAACAATCTTGGTGATGATATTTTGAACAGACATCTTGAGAAGGTTGAGTACCTTTTAATGGCAGTTATCGAGTAAACTAGAATATCTACAGAGTGGTTGGGTTACACGTTGGGCTGCTAACCACAAGGTCAGCAGTTTGAAACCACCAGCAGGCCCATGGGAGAAAGATGAGGTTTTCGACCCCTGTAAAGATTCAAAGTCTCAGAAACCTATAGGGGAAGTTCTACTCTGTCTTATAGGGTCGCTATAAATCAGCATTGACTTAATGGCAGTGAGAGATTAGGGAATATCTACAAGTGATATTTCATGCAAGCTCACTGCAAATTAGCCTTCTTCCTGTTAAGCACATACTGTTCTAGAACCATGCAGCCCAAGCAATTATAGTTAGTGCATAATGAGCCTCACTGCAGGGTGGGGCTCAGCTGGGACCCCTCATGTGACAGTATAGTAAAAGTTACTGAAATACAGAAATCCTGCTGAATTGGTTGGTAAAAGCTGCTGCCCTGAACTCTCTGAGTCTAACTGGCCCTGTCTTGGCAACTTCCCCGGTGGGGGCTGTGGGGTGGGGTGGGAAGTGCCTATGAACTTCCTCAGCACACAGCAGCTAAAGCCCCCAGGCTCTACAGATTCCTTCTGATGGGCTCTGGCCACTACATACCAGCTATTAATTATTTTGAATATCCCTCTGCATATGAGTAATGTTGTGGACCATTCACTGCTTCCTTCCCGGGATCTATGCTTATTTACTAGATGATATCAGAATGACCAGTCATCTACTCACTCCCAAGGGCCCAATGTGCTCAAATTGAAAATGTAATTAGCAGGCTAATATTGCAACTAAATGTTTGCCCGCTGCCATTGCCTGTGCGTAGGAGTCCTGGTGGTGCAGTGGGTACATGGGCTGCTGCCCTCAAGGTCAGTGGTTCAGAAACTACCAGCCACTGGGGAGAAAGATGGGGCTTTCTACTCCCATAAAGGGTTACTGTCTCAGAAACCCACAAGGGCCATTTTGCCTTGTCCTATAGGATCAGCATGAGGTGTTTTGCAGGGGTCGATAGCGCCAAGTGCACTGCTGAATTAATTGAGGCTTGTGTGGAAAAGACTGAGATCATGAAAAACAACGATCAGACTTAGATTTGCTCTGGGGCAATGCCAAGTGCCCATCACAGAGGAAAAACTTAGTGTCACTCGTACTTATCACAGATTTCCTGCCTGAGATACCAAACATTCTTGAACTTGAGTCAGACTTGAAGACTGCGCCTGCATGATAATCTCGTTGAAGACTGTCAGCTCGTCCTGACACACCATCAAGCTCCGTGACTCAGTTGTGCTGCTGTGGTGAAGCAGAGTAGGGCCAAGCTCCACCAGTAGCTCCGGGATCTGCTGAGGAGGATGCCAGTCTCTGAGACCAAAGGCACGGACGAGTGCAGGACGGGGGACCACAGTGTGTGAAAAACCTGAGACACAAAGACCCTTATCTGGAGTCAAACACAGAGAGAGCTTGACGAGAAAGGTGTGCTGTCCAGTTAAGGGAGTGTGTGTGTGTGTGTTGTGTGCATGCATGTAACACTCATGTAACAACAAAAAAGATGTGCATCTTGCAGGAAACAAATATTAAAGATTCCCTGCTGTAAAACTGATTTCAACTCATAGTGACCCTGGGGCTGTGAATCTTCATGGAAGCAGACTGCCACATCTTTCTTCCAAGGGGCAGTGGGTAGATTCCAACAATCAACTTTCCAGTGAGTCGTTGGGAGTTTTAGCCACTGCACCAGGAGGGCTCCTTACTACATTGTAAAGGAAAAGAAAGAAAAAAACCTGTATAGTTTCAAGACGGTAAATCTTTGCAAGAGTGACAGGTTCATCTTTCTCCTGGGAGCAGGTGAGGGGTGCAAGTGGCCAACTTTGAGGTTCACGGCTCAGTGTTTACCCCAGCGCTCCTTTACATTTCAAGAAGGTTCCTCGGATCCCATGCACTGGCAAAGTGTGGCACATTCTAGAATTGGCTGATTAAAAAGCAAACAAGAAATACTGAGGACATGATTATAATATAGAAGAAGCTTGGAAAGACTGAAGGTTTACCTACCTGGAAGTGGAAGCTACAAAGAGAGGTGTTCACATAGATGAGAGCTTTTGAAATTCTTGTATTTTACGAGTACGTTTTTCAAAAGGAAATTATTCCTCTGAGTTTAGGTCCTACTTTTAATGGGACACTTTTAACTTATTTCAAAATAACAGTCACTTGTAGCAAAGTCTGAGGATCCAAAGTTACTAAAAGAGCTGCACTGTCATCAATCTGAGTCCAAGCTAGAGCCACCCTATGGGACAGTGTAGCACTGCCCCTGTGGGTTTCTGAAGCTGTAACTCTTGACAGGAGTAGAAAGCCTCTTTTTTCTCCCACAAACATCTACTGGTTTTGAACTACTGACCTTGAAGTGAGCAGCCCAACCCGTAACCCACTATACCACTAAGGCTCCTTGACCCCAGGTTACGTCTGATATATTTTCTATTTCCTGAGACTGGCTCTGGTCATTTTTCTATCAGGATCACTGTTGTATTGACTTCATCCTTACCAACAGTAGAGAACATCTAAATTACTGCTTTTACCTAATAAAGATTTATTCTTGAAGACAACTCTTGATTTCCCTTCTGGTTGTAGTAGACTAGCAAACCAACAGATTCTGTGGTGCCCTTGAACAAGAGGTCGTGTATCAGTGTGGTCACTATGTGGCTAACAGAACCCAGGTTCAAGTCTTATCTGTACCGCACACTCGCTTGCAGAAGGTCTGAGGTCTGCGCCACTAAGACAAATCATCCCCTCTCTCTACGGCTCAGTTTCCCCGCTACAAGTGCAGAGAATTAAAGCAGTAATCCCAGAGATGCCGTAGGGAATTAAGAGAGTTCAAGTGCTCTAGCGCACTTAAAATGCCATGTCA